TGGTGGAAAAATGTAGTGTTTTTCTGATGGAGCAAGTTATCCCTCACAAATAATACCATTTCCGACGAAACATTTCTGACAATGGATACGGTTCGTAAAAACAACTCAATTATTCCCACGACCTTTTTTAAGACTCGAAAAAAGCATATATTACTGATAGCGTTTTAAAACTTGTCAGTAATAATAATTATTTTCGACGCCATAGCATGTTTCGTTACAAATAATGACCCATGATTCCTCACATTTGCCTAATTTATTATTTTCGACGAATTTTCTAATTATTTCTGCCACGTGCATTTTTTTCACAAATATTATCCTTTCTCCTTTCCAACCGCCAGTCGTTATCTTCTTGCTCTACTTTTGGCCCAAGCTACAAGGTATGATGATCAACTATTCATTATTTGTCATGTTTTCACATGTAAGTTTGATTCAGTATGTATGCTCTTTGTTTGTCTTGACAGCAATGGCGTCCTCTACTTACACCACATACCAGAGAAAAGGAAGAAAACGATCACGTGAGCTCAATTACGATTCATGTTATGGGACAATCCAAGTACCACATCGGAAATACAAGAGAAGGAACCATTGTATATTAGTGTCAATCAAGGTCATTAGTACGATACCTTTAGGGACGATACCTAAAAAGTAAAATCGTGTGAGCTTGGCCCAAAGCGGACAATATCATACTAATATAGCAAATTCGTGACTTCTCCTCTTCGAAATTCGTCATTTATCAATTAACTTAGAGTGAACACGCAGATACTTAAAGATCAAAATCAAACAATTACATACCGTTTGGTATAAATGAATTCCATAAGTTTTTTGGAATTCATTTTGAAATGAAATCTTTTTGTGTTTGGTATTTAAAAGAATTCATTCTCAATTCTAAATTTTGAGTTCTACGGAATTGGAACTAGTTATAGCAATTCCGAGGAATTGTGATGGAATTTTCAAATGAATTCCACAAGTATTTACCAATTATGATAAAAACGACATAATTATTCTCATTTATTAACAAAATTACTTCTACATATATTATTTGGCGCCAATTCATGTAGTATGAGGAACGTCGACAAGAATTTGATTGTAACGCTAATAGCATATACCAAACACAGGAATTCATTTGACAATGAATTCTACACAGGAATTCATTTTAAAACGAAATGAATTCTGGATTCATTTGGTACCAAACGGTCTGTTAGGCTCAATTATCGGCACATAATGAGACATAACCAGACGTCTCAAAATAGTGTGGTGGTGGAAGCTGTCAATTGCAACCTCGAAGTCAGCAGTTCGAGTGTCGTGGCAACCTGGATTTTAATTTTACCCTTTATAAAGGTTTTCTACCTTTTCTACTCTTACTTAATGAGAACCTCAATATAGGTAGACATTTCACTATGTATAATTTCAGTTTTCCGCTTTAGTTCCACTGTAGACTAAATTTAAAAGACTAAATTTAGACAAATGCTTTATTTTCTTTTGTGTTTAATTATTGGATGAACAACTAACCAAGTATGTCTGTCATGTGTGCTATGCGATCTTGCAAGAAAGTGTTACACTTTAGATTATTAGTCTTGTTTTACTTTTTAGTCTCTACTGCTAGTAGTGATGGTGAATTGACTTTTTCAGTCATGCAATTACCCTTTAACCGTTTTGTACCTTCTCTACTTTTACTAAATGAGAACCTCAATATAGGTACACATTTCACTATGCATAATTTCAGTTTTATGCTTTAGTTCCACTTTAGACTAAATTTAGACAAATACTTTATTTTCTCTTGTGTTTAATTATTGGATTATTAACTAACCTAGTATGTCCGTCATGTGTGCTATGCGATCTTGCAAGAAAGTGTTACCCTTTAAATTATTAATCTTCTTTTGACTCTTCTAGTCTCTACTGTTAGTGGTCAACATACTTTTTCTGTCATGCAATTAGTGACTAAACTACGCAACAAATGAGTGATGATTTTCTTGCCGATGATCTTGTTATTTATATTGAACAAGATGTAATCGACACTTTTCACATAGATTGTCTTTGAGTGATGTGATTAATCTCAAAGACGTCGTGTACGTTTAAAATAATAAATTATATTTGATAACTAGTTTGGTACCCGGTTCGTTGGCCGGGTAAATTTTGTTTGAAATATGTACTTTGGTATTTGTTTCCTCCTAAGGTGTTTATTTTGTTCAATCTGTCATTGTCCTCTCTCATTCCGAATTGTGTCTACCTTTGAGTCCGACCAGTTGGCCGCTAAATGATTTTTTTAAGTTAAATTAGTTTATACCGCACGACAATATTTTAACACCCATGAAATTGTTGTGCATTATTATTATGATATTACAAAATTAAACATTGATATAATTTTGGTAAGTCAGTAGAATAAGAAATTTGTCCTGCGATCTATGTTAGTATATACTTTATGGCGGTACAATCGAATGATATTGATATAGTTTCGCAACTATCGAATAGGAACATGCCTTGTAAATATATGATTGTGGCTATGTTTTAAAAAAAAAAATATATCAAAATGGGTATCCTTGTGTAGATCACATAAAATCTGATTTTTTTAACGCAATAATATTTGAATTCGGAGTTGAGGCGAAATAAATATGAATCAAATAAGAAGAGTAGGGGAGATTGGAAAAGAAGAGAGAGAGAGCGGGGTTAAGTGGCACATTCTAATTGGGGCATAGAAAAACTAAAAAAAAAGGAGTTAAGAAAAAATCTGATTGGTCAGAAGGGTGCTGACGTGGATGCGTAGGAGGGCTGGAATTTTGAAATGGTGAAGGTATTTTTTGGAAAAGCCTTTATATATTTTATAGATTTCTTATAGTATTATTTTGTTTGAAAACAAATCCCCTCCCCTCCCCCCACCCCGGGACTTGAATTCCTGGCTTCGCCCTTGCTCGTGACGTTGTCTTTAGCTAAACAACACTATTTCCTAGTAGCGCGGGGTCATTGAGTCTACAATTTCATACGATGTTGTTTTCCACTAAAACAAAATTGTTTCTTGTTACGTGACACCATTGACCATGGTCCAAAATAATTATTATAATTAAAATTAATTAGATTTGCTTCCTTAAATGACGAGACGCATTAACGTGGTATTGAATTCATGCCAAAATAATTTTAGGTGTCTACAAACTATATGTTGATGGGCTCCCAAGCTTATACTCACTGGCAAATCTGGGCTACCAAGCTTACGCTTTTCATTGTTTCGCAGGTCAGTCGAGTACAAACCCACCCCAGTCGAGTCGAGTCACCCTATTCGCACCAGATTCTTCTAAATTATGGCACTAAACATTTGGCCTGGTTCTTTCAAAAGTTCTTGCCCCAAACATAGACATTGTTAATTTGAGCGATTAATTTCTTCATCGGTGTTTTACGCCGCATTTGGCTTTATAGTTGCTTTCGATAGTGATCTGCTTCCTAAACACTTGTAAATTGCTGAAGGATGGATGTGACGATCTAGCCCAAGCTTAGTGTTGCATAGTGAAAATTTATTGGTTAGTGTTTTGAGCAGTGTTATTAAAGCCGAGCCGCTCGGCCCGACCGGTAAAACCACTACTCGGTTATAAAATCGACTCGGAACAGTCTAAAAATCGCTCCGGTTTTATGTCGCGTTTGACGAGCGGCCGTGGCGGTTTACTGATCGAGCCGCTCGTTCGGTTTTTGCCATTCAGCCGTTAAATTTAATTAAAAAAATTGCAGAAAATTGAAAATTGAAATAAACCAAAAACGTCGGGCTCTCAAACTGAATCTTTATTTCCATTTCACAATTTCAAGGAAAGAGACGAGCTCTGATTAAGAAATGTCCACTATTTATACTGATAACATTTATTAGATACCGGTTCTCTAACGATTTTTAAACGGTCTAATGCCGATTAAATCACTACAGTACGAGCCGTTTGCATTACTGGGTCATGCTCCGGTTCGGTTCTGGTTTTGAGTGCATTGCTCACAACTCACAACTCACAACACAATCTGACGAGCCATGGAGATACAACACGAGAAGAAATGGGCCCCGCGCATAGCCTTTGGCGGGCGTTGACATCGGACATACGGGGAGGGCAGGGCAAGGCAGAGCTGCTTGCTTTGGCTTCCAAAGTGCAATCGATGGCCTCGGTCCATTTTCTGGGCCCTTCCCAAAGGCCCAAAAGTGAGCCGACGGAAAATAAATAAACGACGACCAGGATAGGGGTAGACAAGACAAGTCACTTTCGTTTTCGGGTTAGGGTTAGGGATGGGGTTGGGACTTGGGACTTGGGACTTGGGTAGGGATGGTAATGGGTAGGGTTGGGTGCGGGTTTACCCTATACCAACTCCTAACCCGCCGGGTAGAGCCTTCTAAAATACTCGACCAAATAACCACCGGGTATGAAAATTATATAACCATACCCTACCCACCGGGTAACCACGGGTATTCGGGTAACCATGGGTATGAATCCTAAACTATGAATTTATACACATATATGCACATACATATTGTTGTCCATTAAAAATTCTCAATACTTCTAATTGTTCTAGCTTCAACAATCCACACAAATAAAAACAACAAAAACATAATAATTGCTCTTGCTTCTACAATCCACACAAACATAATAATTGTTCTTGCTTCTACAATTCACACAAACATAATAATCGTCTACATCTTCATCATCAATAATGGTAGCTAAACTAAATTTCTCAAGCTAAACTAAATTTCTCAAGGGAAATTGACTCCCTTTGGTTAGCGGGGCGGGTATAACGGGGCGGGTATTATCAATTACCATACCCGTATCCTACCCTTTATTTTGAAACCGGGTATTACCCGTACCCGCCCCTTAACCCGTCAAAGCGGGTAATTACCCTCGTTGACCGGTTACGGTCGGGTAGGGTACCCATGGTTACGGGTTGGATTGACATCCCTAGACTTGGGAGAAGGATTTATAATTATATATATATGCTCATTCCTTCATAGATCGCACTAACAGATCTCTCATCTGAGCGAGCGAGTTTCGGCGGAGGAGAGCGGGGGGAATATTTTGTTGTTGTTGTTGTTATATCCGGTCGGTCGGTCGGTCGGTCGGTGAGCATGGCTCTTATGTTGTTGTTGGGGTCGCTACAGGTCATTTTGGCGTGCAAGCAGTCTGTCTCTCAACTTCGCGCGAGGAGTCCCAGCGCGGGCGGGTGGGGATCCAGCTACAAACATTGGATTAATCTCCCTTGGAACTGCTTCCCCTTGTATCCCGGCGTCGCAGGTTTCGCCGGCGAGCCTCTAGGTTGGTTGATTTGTTGATTTGTTTTAGTTAATAATAATAATAATAATAATCTCCTTCTCCTTTATATGATGTTTGTAGATAGTAGGATAGGCGAAGAATGATTTGTGCTTGTCGATCGAATGGGCCTTGTTTCTTTTGCTGCTTTCACGAAATTACATATATATATATATATATTATTATCATTACGGATTGCATATATAGATTCTCCAAGCCAGCATTATCGTGTTGCAAATGCTGCTGCTGTCGGTCGGCTTTTGGAGAATGGAGACAGAGCCTACCGTGCTGGAGGCGTCAATCCACATTTCTACTATTCCAACCACTCATCCGCCGAAGAATTCAAGGTGCTAATTTCTTTCTTTCTATCTCTCTATATGCCATATCGATTTCAACATCTTGCTAAATTTCCCATGGTTAATTTTACCATTGTTAATTCACTTCTCGATCTGTTTGCCTTTTCTCATCAGCCAGCTTACTCGTAATTTTTTTTTTTTTTTACCTTTTCCCCCTCTAGGCTTCTCATTTCGTAAAATTTGAGGATACTGCTGGTCTAGCTGTCATGTGGGTCAACCATTGCTTAACCTTTTGCCGTCTTGAGGAGGTCGGAGGTATGAAATTGAACACACTTTGTGCTCTGTTAAATTCCAATCTTCAACATCGATCCTTTTCACCTTAATTTACTCGATGAGCTTGTATGTAGCTAACTGTATCCAATTATTCTTCTTTCAGCTAGTATTCTCCCTGAACCTGTGCTTCCCGTCAACAAATCGGACTTGCAGATTCCTTTTGCTGCTTGGCAAAAGCTATATCAGTCGGTATAAATCTGACTAGCTAGTATTGTTCTTGTAGTAGATTTTGATTGCCCCAGGCAATTCTGTTGCTCAATACTGCGACTAGCTTGATCGATCGAGAGTTTCGATTATGTTCTGCACTTCTTTATTACTTAATTGTGTGTTTGTGCATGCAGTGTCTCCAGAAAGAAGAGGAGGGAGTAGCTGCAAAGTGCGAGTACTTCAGGTGTAAAGTACACGACGGCATAGTTGGCGTGAAGAAGGAATAAGATGATGCATGGTTCCTTAAGCTGTAGAACGAACAAGCACTGTTCGTTCAAATGTGTTGTGGATACTACTTAAATTAGACGATGTAGACCTTATGAAATGATTTTCACTCTCATTCTTTCTTGAGAGAGGAGTAACAAGCAGAAAGGCGAGGATAGATAGAGACCTTAGCTAGCTTGTTCGTTGGGATGCAAATTGAATTTCAGGTATTGTGCTATACTTGATCATTTGTTGCAAGCCAAGCTATAAGTTATTTTTCTCATTCTGTAATTAGGCATCTCGTATCGTATAGTTTCTTCATCTTCAAGATAATTGAAGTAGGGCTAAATTAGCTCTCCAGATTTTATATATGTTATCAAAGATTTGCAAATGGGTGATTGACTGAGTCGCTAGCTGTAACTTCCTTCTCAATCGAAGGTCTAGTTTAATCAACGACTGCGTGTAGAAGCGAGTAATAAAATTATCGACCAAGTGTTATTACGCTTACTAGTCGGCCAACAACTAGCTTACCTTCTGGTTGTCAACAAATGTATGGTTTGCATACTTGCATTCCTCTTGATGATGGTTCCTGCAGCTTTCCCCATTGTCACAACTCACACTTCTATTACTACCTTCATGTGTCACATAATAAATGTTCCATCTACAACCCACACCGCGATGACCAGAAATTGAAAGCTACACACTGTTCCAGATCAAAACTATCATGATCTAGTTGCAAAGCATGGCCCGTTACACTTCCCTTCATAACCACATTGATGAATATGTGGCAATTCTAGTAGTGTTTTCCCCGTATTATAAATCACACAAGCTCCTCTTCCTAGCTAGGGTACCACTTCCATCAAACAGGCAGGCAGGCTTAAAAGAGAACAAACCAAATTCCTTTCACTCGAAAATAATAATGTCGTCCATCCAAAATCCCCAATTAGCTACATCCCTCTGTGTGTACATATTTTTGGATATTATTATTGTTTAATTATCTTAGTAGGATTTGGATTGTTTTCTATTATGTTTAGGATTTGGATATCGTTTTCTTGTGGGAGTAGTATTCATATTTTGGGTAGGGGAAAAGAGGTGTTCTATGCCTATAAATATGTAATGTACCCACTCTTTTCTTTAATAATATGAGAATATTGGAACTCCACTCTTGAGTTTTGCTTCGTTTTTAGTCCTAAAGTCTATTTCTGATCGTTCTAGCCCTATTCTCTTCGTCCTAAGTCTATTTCTTTAGTTTATCATTCGATTCTTGTGAGACACGTTGCGTGGGAGGTTCTATCTAAAAAATCCACGTAACAATTGATATCAGAGTCTGGTTCTGCACAGCAACGGAATCCAAGTTAATTACCTAGTTTCATCATCACACGTCGTCCGGCTCTATGCATCTCGTCATTTCGGCCTTCGAGCCACCATGAAATAAACCCTACAACTTCAGGGAACGAAGATATGATGAGATTCATCACAATCAACATCCAGGATATTCTATCCACCAGCAGCCGCATCCCTACTACTCGACGTATCTGCCGCATCCATACAATTACTACACCCCTTAAAATCGCCATGACTTGATGGAAAATCGGGGCTCCGTCGCTATGATAGATGTCTAATCTACTTCTACGATAAACTACAAAGAAAACTAATAACTTTAGGGTTTATTCTTCGCATAATACGACATAATGGCATAACGACAATATATATAGTAGTCTAACCCTAACCGACTCATGGCGATTAAGTAAATAATAATAATATGCTAAGTTACGTGTACCATACACGCATCAATATCCTCCCCTTCAAGCATAACCTTGTCCCCAAGGTTACTCTCTGACATCATCCGAAAAATCTCCGACCATCAAAAATAACTCCTGACCTGCATAACGATGACCGATCGTGAATCGCTCATCACAGTTGAAGCACAGGTCGTCCCTCCGCCGCCTTGCGATCTCTGCTGGGGTACGCTTGATAGTTTCGAACGGAACATTGGGTGGTGCCCCCGCTGACGTAGCCACGTTCCCGGTTGTCGGTGCGTCCAATCCAAGTCGCATATCTTCTAGTTCCTCCTCCCTGCCCCTTGCCAACCTAAACACCTCTCCCAATGATTGAGGTTGGAACTGCCGAACCCCACTAGCGATTGTTGGCTTCAACCCCGCTAAATAAGCATTAATCAAGGTACTAACAGGCGAGCCCCTGCAACGATATGCCAGCTTCTCGAACTCAAGCCTATGCTCATCAATTGATCCTTTTTGCCTAAGCTGCATAAGGTTCTCTTCGCTCGTGCCCCTGCCAGTCGGTTCGAATCTAGACCACAACACTTCCTTGAAACGCTCCCACACGTCACCGCTTCCCCGGAAGCAGCCATTGTATATACTCCAACCATTGCCACAACTGGCACGCGTCACCTTCTAAGTAGAATGCAGCCCATGAAACTTTTTGATCCTCCGGTATCCCTTGATACTTAAAGAATCTTTCAGCTCGAGAGATCCAAACTGTTGCATTCTCCTGACCTTGAAAACTTCTTGAACCCCAACCAAAGGTCTATCCCCACCTGGTGCTGTCCAAAATGAAGTGGTTCTGTCAGAGTTTGGTCCAACCAATTTGCTGACCAGACCGGACCAACACCTTTCAAACTAGGCCAGCCCGACCCAATCTGTGATTATAAAAAAAATGCATTTAATTTTATTTGTTTATTTTTCCTCCAATCTTCCTTTTCTGCATTGCTAGTTTCGGCCATGGAAGAGAGAGAAACGCAGCGGCGGGGAGAAAAAGATGGCGACGGTGGAAGCGAGGGGAGCGACGACGACAATGGAGAGAGATGGAGATCTCGACGACGACGGCGGTGGCGATGGAGAGAGGGAAAGGAGATCGCGACAGAGGCAGCAGTGGAGAGAGAGAGAAAGCAGATATGTCGTCGTCGTCGGGAAAATAGAGGAGAGAGAGAGACGATGGTGGAGGAGAGAGAGGCGGTGCGGCGATGGAGAGAGAGAGGTGGCGACGACAATAGAGAGAGTCGGCATCGACCGTGACGACGGATCTCTCGACATCGTAGTCGTCCGAGGGAAGAACAATGATTTGTAATGCAATTGTTGTCTGTTTGTATTGTTAGTATTTTTGTACATAATGTCAGTATGATTTGTATAGTTTGTATGTTTTGTAATATTAATGGCAATATACACTTGTATAGCCAAAACTTTTGCACTTGTGCCAATAATAGCCAAATTTGGAGAAATACCACTTATAGCCAGAATTTTGAAACTTTCATGACAAATATAGCCATTTCCGTCACAAACTTTAACGGTGTTAGAAAATTCGTCAGTTAAATTAACATTAAAGTGACTAGGATGCCAAATCATCGCACACGTCAGCGACAAATCACCATATCATTGCCACGTCATTTAATTTTGAGTTATAAAAATAATTAATTTTGAAATTAAACAAAAAAACAAAATATTTTTTTCTAAATTTCCCCTATCCCCTACCAGTCGTCTCCTTCCTCCAAACCTGGCGGCGACAACGAGCATCTTCTCGAAGCCTACAACGAGCAATTTCTGTCCTCTCTAAGCGGAGGAAATTCCTGTCCACGCTGGTGAGATGGTGTCCAGAAGAAGATGACGGGTTCAAGTGCCCTGAGGCTGTGGATTTATGAAGGAGAAGATCGATATGAACTAGATCCCTTCTTGTCAAGGTCATTTCATATCCAGCGGCTGGAGCTCGCTGAGCGACTGGATCTACAGGTTCTCGTCGGCGACGGATATTGTGGGACAGAAGGCCGATGATGTCGGGCTTGCAACACCGGCGCGCGACACAGTAGCGAGGTGAAACCGGCGGCTTGTGCCGCGGTGGCGAGGACTGCCCGCCGATCGATCTGTTGAAGCCGGCAAGTGTGTCGTGGCGTCGACGATGACGCGGAGCCGCGACGCGTGGTGAGGAGAGGGCGGCGACAGGCTACCGGTCGCCGAGCTAATGGCGTCTGCGGTTCAAGATCTGAGAAATTGGGTTTTGGTATTCTGGATAGAAAAATGGGAAAGGGGATGCGATTACAAGCGAGAATGGGTTTGTGGAATTTAACAGGGGAGTGGAAGTGAAGAAGAGGAAGAGATTTCTCAGATCCTGTAAATTTTTTTGGGGAGTGATTGTAGATAGAAGGTTGCTGGGATGTGAGCCGCCAGGAAGGAGGAGGGATGGCGGTGGGTGGGTGGTGGTGACTGGAGGAAGGAGGGATGGTGGTGGGGGAAGGAGGGTTGCTAGGCTTTTTTAATTTTTATCTTTTTAATTTTTTTAATTTTTTTAAATGGTTTTCATTAATGATTTTCTTTTTAATTTTTTCATTAATTTTTTATTAATCTACGTGGTAGTGTTGTTGCGCCAAGTCAGCATTTTCGCTAGTCTAGTCAGCCTATTAGTTAACACCGTTAAAGTATTGGATGGAATTGGCTATAAGTGGTATTTCGCCAAATTTGGCTATTATTGGCACAACCGTAAAACTTTTGGCTATAGAAATGTATAACTCCTATTAATTTGTATACTTTATATGTATTGATTTGTGATGCAAGTCATGTCGATTTGTATTGTAAGTACTAATATTCTGTACTCTTAGTATGTTTTTGGTACTTTGTATAATATCAACCATTACAACCTAGATGAACAAACATTACAAACTAGACAAACAAACATTGCAAAGTCAACCAGGTTATTTTTTAGGCATAAAAAACATTACAAACATAGTTGACAAAAATGATAAACATGGTGGACAATAGTAACAAAGCTTACAAACATTACAAAAGAACTCGACAAACATTACAAAATAACAAAACTTACAAACATTACAAAAGAAACCGAAAAATAGTACAAAGCATACTCTCTCTCTCTCTCTGGAGGGGAAACATTTGGGCCAAAAAGGCTACCAGAGGCGGCGGGAGAATTTCCCTGGATCGGCGTGCGGGCGGGAGGGAGGGCGGATGATTATTTTTTATTTCAATTTTTAAATAAATAAATTATGTAATACCACATTATCCTTCATTAAAGTAGATTAATTTGAACCATAAGATTTTAATGAAGCTCAATGACTGTGATTAACTTAGTCATGTGACTAAGAGACCCCGCTTAGTCACTTGATCTTAGCCCCTACCCGCTAGCCCTTCTTTATACAATATTTGACAATTTACAAATTCATTTTTTTAATCTTTTTTAGTTACTTTTTTAATTAATAATTAATATATCCTTTCCCTTGTGGCCACTTCTATTGTTCGTGATTTTCTTGATTTATCTTCTTCCTCCACCACTGCTTTCGTTTTCTATCAAGTCCCTTCCGGAAGCTCCCTCCCCACTGCATTCACACTTTAAAGAAACATCAAAGAA